TTCACATAGTCCGACTCCGACTAATTGAAGACTTTTAAACTGCATCAAAGTAAACTACGTAAAATGACTTGTCTTTATAAATGAAAAAAATACGATCATTTATGTATTAAAAATAATCATAATTTTGTGTACTGCTGTATTTAGTTCCTCGATTAGTCCAGTTTGAAATAATCCGGGATATTGGCATAATCAATTACCCGGACTATACGAGGTATAGTTGTATAGTAAAGATTTATTAAATGATAGCATTTTTAACCATTTTAAGTATTAGCCTAAAAATAATAGTATGTGGAGACGCACGTAGCATTAACAACAATATTTTTACTACTGAAATGAATTTTTCAAAATATCCACCATAGTTTCCGCTATAAGAGCTAGGAGCCGTAATTTATCATCAAAGGAGGCGCAGATTGCCGACCCCTGTGATAGAACATCGATTTCCAAAGCGTAAACTTTCTTATTTGATTCAGCGATTAATTCAATTATTCAACTTAATTAATATGCTGATGTTTGATTATGTAGAAAACTTTGCAATATATTTAAAAAAAATGCTATAATGATAGTTTTATGCTCGCTTCTTCTGACATCGGTTTTCAAATAAAAAGATTCAGGGTATTAATTTTTTTATAATATTGTTTAATTTAATAGATTAAATGATTTTTTCCAACATAGCATCCAGAGTCACTGCTGTGAGAGCTAGGAGCCGCAATTTATCATCAAAAGAGCCGCAGATTGCCGACCCCTGCTATAGAGCGTCGATTTCCAAAGTGGATGACGCAAATTTGTGCAACCTAGGAGCTAAAACTTTAATTGTAATGTTATTTTCAAAATAGATTTTAATAAAATAGACATAAAAACATACATTTTGGAAATTGATGGGTTAGAGATGTAATTAGATTTTCAGATTTTATACAAACTCATACGTACATAATTTGCTTATTGAAAGGGAGCCGTGAGAAATAAATGTATGACATTTATTGCATAGTAATTTGTAACTCCATTAAAAAAATAAGTAAAGTATTTAAATATATAAGAAAAAATAAATGCAGTATAAAAAGTTTCAGAAGGTTAACAACTGCATTATTTCTTATTTATGGATCTTACTCAATATTTAAATGGAAAGTCAGTAAATTGAAGGAAATACATAAAGGGAAACAGCTACTTAAATCATTTTATACAAAAACTAAATTTACTTACATATTACCAAAATATATGAAATTTATATCACTTTATTTTCCATTACTTATAGTTTAATATGATTGCTTTTTATGATTGTTGTCTTATATAACAATAACGACGCATTCAAAAAAGAATCAGATTGTAAGAAGTCTATTAAATGAATATCTTGAAGAGACAGCAATTTGTTTTACTACATAATTGCATTATATAACAACACATTATGAATAATATTGCATTTTATTGCGTATTAATTGAATGACGTAATGTAATTCATTTACATTTTCTAATTAATTGAAATCTTTTTGACTTTATAGCCACTGTTCAAAACTATCTATATTTTGTAACTAAAATAACAAATTTATTAAAATATTAAAAAAAAATATATGATTTGTAAAATTGTTAAACTGTTGCCAATAGCTTTTGGTCCAAATTGGAGTCAAGAAAAATGTTTCAATAAATAATAATTAAATGTTACAAAAGGCAAGGATAAATTAAAATTTTCATAAATTTTATTTTTTTTTCTCACCTTGCATGTGTATTTTTTTCTTTCAAGAATGTTTTATCATGCAAACATTTTCCTTGATATTTTTCCATTTTAATTATATATTATGTATTTATTTAACATATTTATTCATCAAAAATATGACCGAGATTTTGCGCCCTTAATTATTTAATTTTCTGATCAAATCAATACTTCTTATTTCATATTTATTTCAGCGATTAATTCAATCATACAACTTAAATACTGAAGTTTGATTATCTATAAAGAAAACAGTTCTTGTTTTTAATACTATTTATACTCATTCTTCTGTCTTCTGTCTTCGGTTTTCGGTTTTCAAATAAGATTGGGATATTGAGATTTTATTTTTTATCATGTTTCTTATATTTTTTTAATATACAGTGGAACCTCGCTTAACGAGTAAAATAAAATAAAATTGTAAAAATGACTTCAACATGAGACGCATTATTGTATATTATTACATTAGTTTATATAGAGAAAATTGTTTCTCTATACGAGAAATAATCTGGAAATTTTGGAATTCATTATGCTCGTTAATCGATGTTCTACTGCTCATTTTAACCACTCAATTTTTCTTAGTACGAAAATTGTATGAAATAACATATCTTCAGTAATTATCGTTTGCAACCCTAATTTCAACTTTTCTCAACATTTTTGCCTCTACTCAATATTTTTTATTTGAATTTGTACCCAATTGTTTATAATGCAAATTTTTTGACACTTTGACGTAAAGTGACAACTGTCATTTCGTCACCCATTAAACATAGGTTGAGAAAACGCTTGTATAAAATGTGATATATAATAACATTAACACACATAATCATTTTTGCAAAATAATAAAAAAAATATTGATTTTACAATGTTATGGATCTGTGAAAATATCCAATAATTGCATAAATATTATGTTATACTAATGGTGCAAATATTAATATATTATTATTTAAACTGTTATATCACTTTTACTTATAGATTAACTATTTGATCAGTTTAAAACTAATGTTTTCATCGCAATTAGTCATAGATCATAAAATAATTCGTATAGTGATGTTAAGTTTTATAACATTTGCAAATAGTAGCAATTTTTAGTTTCTATTTCCAAACTTCTAATATTACATCAATTTCATAACAACAAATATTTTTATATGAAAATCAATTTGAAAAACTACTATTAAGTAGAATTTTTTATTAGAATAAATAATTAATTGTTGAAATCGCAACACAAACAAACTTGAATTAAACGATGTTATTTTTATATAATTATTGCAATAAACATTAGTTATAAAATAATCAATATTATAAATACCAAAAATTCAACCAAACTTTAAGAGTTTTTTTTTGTTAATTTTGTGTAAATACTAAAAAAAGAAATGAAAATATATACGAAACCAATAATATTAGATATGAACGTTTTAAGTAATAATGTCAATATATTTCAATATGTACAATAGGTTTTAAACCATGACACACCTTGTTTAATTTGCATAAGGTATCATAACACCTCATTCAATAAGTTCGTAGGATGACATATAGATCGCACTTCTGTCGACAAATGCATATCATTTTTAGGAAGTACCAACCTTCAGACGACGCCTGTCAAAATTTCATGGCAATCTGACGTTTATTTCACAAGTTACAGTGGTTTCAGTGACGCTACTTTTGTAATTTTCAGAACAATGGAAAAATCTGTATGTTGATAAAACATTGCTTTTTGATGGGAAAAAATACCGTTTAAGCAAAGCAATGGCTTGATGATTCCGAGCGCTGTTTGGAGCTGTTCAAACGAAATAAAAAGGATTTTTTCATGCGGTATGTAACAATGGATGAAACCTGGATCCACCACTACAAACCAGAGCCAAATCGGTCGTCAGCTGAGTGGTCATCCTACAAACTTATTGAGTCAGGTGTTATATTATGTAATAGGTATTTATTAGAATTTGTACTAATAATTATCATTATTCATTGCAGCAGAGTCTTTGGTGTTTGTGCAAGGTCTAAGAACAACCAAATTGGAAAATTCACATTTGTTACATATGGTAAAAGCCATTTTATAAATCATAGCAACTCCAAGAATTCAATTTATTTTATAATCAAGATGCGACATCAGTGAAAATGAGTTTCACTCATATTCTGAAGTATGTCTAAAAAAATTCGAAGTTTCATATGAAAGGAAGATATTATTTAAGAATATTATTTTAATTGGATTAAACATATATAAACTTATAGGACAGAATGATTTGTTTGTAGTATTACTAACATTTAACATTCAAATTGAAAGTGAAAGTGCATCAAATATGAAAATCATCCAATTGATTCAAATCGATGAGTTAAGTAATGAGTTAAGTAATCACAACACTAATACTTAACTAATTTAATAAGAATTTCATAAATTAATAATAGAAATGTTTCTATCATATTTTACTTTAAATACTTAATAACTTCTAAAAGTAAATCTACCTTGGAATTATAAATTTCGTTTATTTGAATCTATATCTAATTTCATGAGTGCAAATGTCATACTTATAAATAGACAAATTAATTAATTAATTAATTAAGATATTTATTCCATTTAATGCTTTTTTTACTTTATTTGATCAATTACAGCTGTAAAGTAAACAATTTATAATTTTAACAGTTTATTATTTGTATTCGATCAATTATGTTTTTTTTTTTATTTATTACTAATAATTAGTTTAACATAGTATAAAAAGAAAATTGGTATTTATATAACGTTTCTATAAAATGCAAAATTAATTTACTTTTTTACTTCTAAGATGTTAATTACATGTGATACTGTTTTAATTTCTCGTATTTATAGGTTTATTTTATAGTAATACGTAATTCTTATAGTTATTTAATATTAGATTATTTATGTATTTTTTTTTTAATTTGTAATTTCTATTACCAGTAATTAGAAATTTGTAATATTTCTCGTATTTACTGCTTTAATTTATAGTAATAATTTTAAATTTCGTAATTATCTAATTTTATATTAATTAAGTTTTCTTCTTGTTACAATTTTTGATAATTTATTAAACAAAAGTTTTTTTTATAGAAAATGTTAAATTATTCTTACATTTTTTTCTAAAAAATCCAAATAAAGATTATATTTCACCTATTTATAGCTTCAATATACTAATAATATGCAATCTTCTTAATAATAGATTTTAATTAGTTGATGTTTCACTTTCTGCTAATTTATTATACATAATTTTGATTATTATAGAAAATGTTAAATTGTTATTGTAATTTATTAAACAAAATTTTAGTTTTTTAAAAGATATTTTTAAACTTTACTACTTACTTGAGGTTTTTATAAAAACTAAGCACTTCTGAGATGAATATTGATTGTTCAACACCGATAAAATCCAGTTTTCACTATTATGAAGCACGAGCTTGTATCACTATTTTTAAAAACACTATCAATTTAAATTCGTACTGCATTCGCAATGGTTTCGCTCAGTTCATGTTTCGAGTTGCGATCGCGCGTCAAGACTGCCGCCTTCGGAATTTGTACGTATGCTTTTTATAATATTTCCCTGCCGAACGCAAAGGTATATTATCGAGCATGATACCATTGCGCGACCTGACCTTCGCATCTGTGCACAGGTGTTTCCAATCCAATCCTTCACAGCCGCAAACTACTCATAAAAGTACTTGACAAGTATCTATGATAGCTCACAAGAAAATTACAAGTTACTTGCACTATGTTGGATATCATAACAGTCACCTTTGGGTCGTTGGGCCTTCGATTTTGATGGTTCTTAGACGAGGACAGAAACAATGCTAACGATCCGTTAATCGTCGTTTCCGCAATTAACATTTACTTTTGGAGTAACTTGGACAAACAAACAATTTTAGGATCTCACTACTGTTACATGCATAATGTGGCCAAAGTCTATTCAAATGCTTATAAAATACTAACATTGGTTGTGAATTTCTTCGCTATTTGAAAGAACAGGTTTTGAGGTTTCTGGAGAACCATCATATTACTACATATATAATTTATACATTTTTTTTAAAAGATTTATAGCATAAAATTGCTTTATTTTGCATAACTTCATTCAATCAAAACAAACCTTCGATAATTTTATCTTTTTTCTAAAGATCTACGCATTTTCTTTAACCTTTCTTCAATATCTAAAAAGTTTGTAAATTTAAAGAAATAAGACTCAATAATATCCGTTTTTTTTTCATACAAATTATTGTATATTTTGTTATGAAATATTTCTTCTTGCCAACCTTTACTACTACCAACATGATTTCTTATATTGAATTGATATGATTTATATGATTGAAATAAAATTTGACAATCCAAAAGTTAGTTAAATGTCAACTTGTCAAAATTTTTATAATAGATATTTGGTTTATGTCAATTAAATTAATATCTTCTTTGACAATTCTAGATTTGTAATTGAAACAACAATAATTTGATTTTCAAATTAATATTAATCAATACTTGTCAACAAACTTGTATTAATAGAAGTACATCTTACATAAACTATGAAAGTACAATAAGAATCGCACGTACTTTCAAAATAAGATATATAAATATAATTATGACAGCCCATATCTACATGAGACTTGACAAGAAAATCGTTTAGATTTTCGACCGGTTATGACAAGTTTTAATAAGTATATTTTTTCTTTACTTAAATCTACCTCATACAAAAAAATAAGTACATTTAATAAGTAATATATGTTTATATCTAAAATATGAACATTAATGAAATCTTATATAATTTTATTAATTCTTAATTATTTTTTGCATAAATCCTATTTTCTTTGTTCAAAATTAATCAGGCAACAAAACATCTTTGACTATAATAACTAGTTTGTCACCTCTACTCATTTTAAAATTTCGCACGTATGTGAATGAACGGATTTCATGAATGAATGAATAATATAGTAGAGTGAATCTATTTTAAGTGCATTACATAATGTATTTGCATAAGTCAAAAAACACATAAATAAACCATAAGTTTACAAAAAAAAATAGATTTTTTGTAAAACATGTAATTAATTATCCGGTGGTATCTCTTGAACAGTTTATCTGAATAATTAAATTTATTTATGTAATATTTACTACTTTTCATGCGTAGTTAATATAAATAAACCTGTTCAAAGAGGATTTTCGCTCTTCATCCTTTTTATGCAAGGATTGTAGACATGTCATACATTACCAGTAACCAAGGAAATGTGGATGCTGTTATAGGCAACCAAACGTGTTTATCTAATTAGAAGAAGCATTTTTCAAAAATGTTTTTTTAAAGTTTGTTACAAAATAGTTTGTATATGAGTAGCACTAACTATTATATCAATGAATACTATTGTAATACATTTTATTTAATTGTAATTATAAATTTTCATTACATCATTGATTAAGAATGATTTTATTTATTTATTTACAAGATAAAATTTAAATAATTTTATCTTTTCTATTTAATGTTTAAAATGTTCAAAGATTGAAATTTTAATATGGAAAATTAAATAAAACTCAATCAAAATAAACAACATTAATATATTTTTGCGGTTTGATATTTATCATTTGTTAAATATTATAATATACACGACATAAATAGAAAATAACTTAGAGAAAAAGTCACACTTATTTGAAAATGACTATTGGATAGAAAAGAAAGTTCAAAATGGTTCGCAAACCGGCGTTGAGATCCTCCAGCAAACACTCCGAATTGTAACCTTTCTCCACGAACTTAACACTGGTCAGTTCCTGATCGGTGCAAGTGATGCAACCCACTTCCAGCACTTTAACAGCCTGCCGTGGATAATCATCCGTTAGAGATCCTTTGAACCACACCTGATCGTTCTTCTGCAGTTTCATGGTGAAATTCTTGAAGCCGTGTCCTAATGACAAGGCAACCTCAGCAGACTTTCCCCAAAGGCTAGACTGCATCTTGATAATGATCTCGAACGTGTACTGATCGTACTTATCCAATGTACACACCCTGCTCGATCGAATCAGATCGTAGAAGAGATCGCAATCAGATTCGTAGCAATTGGCGACAATTTTCTCACCGTAGTAGCAGTAGAGCTGATCTGAAATGAACTTTGGTAACTTGTCGAAGAAGTATTTGTACTTGTTCCTTGTGCTCTTGATACGAATGTCTTTGATGTACCCATCCCAATTGACCAAGACGTTCTCCAGCTTGGAGCAGCGGATCTGCACGTTCGCCATATTATTATCATCGTGACAGAACTTCTGGTACGTTTCGTAATTTATACTCTTGGTCGGATGATTCTCCACCGTTAACATCTTGGAAATTTTCGGATCCTGTACCGCGGAATTGATGAGGAAATACAATGCCAACAGAGCGATTAAAACCTGCGCGAAACTGGTGTAAGTTTTGAACCTGCTCTGCGCCATGAGGAAGCAAATGCTTAAAAACAGCGTGGTCAACACTATGAATACCAGGATCGTGTACAGGTAATCGCTGGTTATAAACCATTTAGCTAAGGCTAAAGCCGGCAGTAAAATTGTTGTCAAACCTACTAAGGGTAGGAAAAGCACGAAACCAACAAGAGCTAAAGTGCCTCTGATTAATCCAAACATGGTGGCGCCTTGCGAACTGATTATGACTACCTGAAGCCAGCTGAGGGTCACGCAGTGAGGTATCAAAAACTTGTAAATTCCTCTCCAGTTCTCCCTATAGGCAATGCGGAAGAAGACGAGGACGATGAAAACGTACAGTAGCGTCCTGAAGTTTAAGCAAAACTCTATACCATTCCCGATGATATAACTAGCGAACGTCGGTATCTTCAGGTCGAGGAACCTCCAACCCTGTGTCACGACAGGATCGGTCTCATACGGATATTTAGCCATCACATTCACAGCGAAACTGAAGAGCACCAGGAAATCCACCACCGTCTTCGAGCGACGCTTGTACATGAATCCAAACAGCGTCATGAAGGTGATTAAAAAGGCGAATATGGCCAATTCGGATTGCGGTATATTCTGCTCGGCTATCACCGGATAAATTAGCAGATTGACCAGCAGCGCGACGAAGAATTCGCCGTAAGGTTTCAGGTTGTTCCTGATGTACTGAAATTCCGCCTCTTCCGCGTTGAGTTCCCCACCCGAATACGCTATGAACAATCCGGACCAAATCCGAAAATCGTAGAATTCCCGATTGGTCTGCAGCATTCGGAACGTCATCATCACCATAATCGCTATGGTCGTGTAGTAGACTACAATCGGCACGAAGTAAAGCACACTGTCGGAGCTTAGCAGCGTGTATATTGCCAGTAAAATGCATAGTTGAATGTCGGATCGCAGCACGGGCCAATAAGAGAAGCTTCCTAGGAAACGAATCACTTTGTAGTAAAGTATTTTCAGCGCTAGGAACGGATGTAGCACGGATCTTTGTATAATCGGAACGTTGTCAAGGGCATGCAGGTTAGGATCGTTCAAGCATAGAACTCGATTAACTTCAGGAAGTTGACCGTGAGAATAATCTACCGCAGCGGCGACTAAGTTGTCTTCGGTTAACTTCTCGCTGGTTTCTGACCGCTGCGTCCAATCCTCTTCTTCGCTCTCATCTTCATGGAACTTATTCATTATATCCCCGTTCGAAGACACGCCGTTCGCAGTCTCAGATTCCATCTTCTTGCTTTGCTCCTCGTCCTTTTCAATCGCTAACATCTTCCGCTGAAGTTGATCCGAAGTTATGTACTCGCTTCCGTTGGAAAGTCTCGCAAACATCTCCCTCGCTGCCCTCACTGCCACCTTCTCATCCTGCGACATCGTCAGGCAGTTCTTCACGTCCATGTAATTGTGCTCGCAAATTCCCTCTCCAGTATCCAAGCACTTCTTCAGCATTTCAGTGGCTTCCTTGTTACCTTGTTCAGAAGCTTTTATGAGCCAGTACACTCCAGATCGGGCATTCTCCACCTTATCATCATGTGTATCTAAAGATACACAGACAAAAAACAAATTAACAATAAAAATTTAAATGCACCTCTTAAAGTAGTATATCAAGATTAAATCCACACCTACTTTTCTTTCAGCTATTACCTGTATCTTCATGATCAAAGAGCTGCTTGGCCAGGACAACTTGAGATTCTGGGCATCCATCATTGGCCAGTTGGTTTCGCAGACGTTTCAATGAACTCCTGGGGCCTTCTATAATTATACACACAATGTTATGAAATAAACAAAACAAACTGACATCTGTTCTTAGCCTACTATTTTCGCTTTCAGTACAGTATACAATAAACTTGGATCATATTTGAATGAATGACAACAGATATAGTTTTAATTGAGTATGTTCAGTAATTATTTACCATGAATAGGCCACTGTTTTCGACCAGATGTACTCCTTTTGGTCGGTAACACACCAGCCATTCTTTAGGTTTCGATTTATTTATTTACCATTATGTATGTCAAAATGCTGTCAAAGTAACACCGAAGTATATTTAGTTGCCTGCACAATAATAAATAACATTTTATCATTTTAGTTAAAAACGATCATTATTATTTCTTAAAAACTATTGTTTAGATTTTGTACTTTTATATATAAATATTAACAATTATTAATCAAATTTTTCTGCACATTTAGTTGCATATATAATCATTGATAATGTATTTTATAGTGAAACCTCGCCTAACGAGCATTTCGCGTAAGGAGCAAAATAAATTGTAAGAAAAATGACTCCAAAATGAAAGGCATTATCGTATTTTATATTAGTTTATATGGGGAAAATTGTTTCACTATACGAGTAAAAATCCGGAAATTTTGGAACGGATTATGCTCGTTAAGCGAGGTTCCATTGTTGTAATGATTATTATTATTCTTAAATAAATTTAAATAGAATGTAATAATTGTAAAACAATCGATAGCCCATATATTTGACACCAAAATTTGGTGTGAGTTTCGAACTCGCTCACTCGAATAAGGTTTGGTAATTGTCGATCTAACAAGAATGATTTAGAAATAATTAATAATGAAAGATATCATATAATTAATCATCATTTTTTTTGAAGTTAAAATATTTAAAATTATTATAGGAAAAAATGTGACTCTAACAATTATTCTTAAGCTGCAAAATTGTAAAAAGATAATTATAATTAGAAAATTATACAGTAAAACCTTATAAAATACGTCAAAGATTTACGAAATACATGAGAAAGTGCATCAAAACAAAATAAATAATTAAATTACACATGGAAACATTTTAAAACATTTAATTTCTCATTGTACATATGGAGATATTTTCAAAATGCACATACATAATTCACTGCTACTCGTGTTAATCGAAAACGCGTTTCTTCTTGTGATGAATTGGTACAAAATCGACTAACAGAATAGTTTAAGCAAGCTGTACATATCAGTACATCGGTGGCAATCGCAAGCCCGACAACCGAAATCCGGATGTTCGAAATCCCGACGTTTGAAATCCCGAGTGTATCGAAATCCCGATGTTCGAAATCCCGACTATATCGAAATCCCGACTGTGTCAAAATCCCGACTACCATAATCCCGACCATCAAAATCCCGACTACAATAATCCCGACTATAGCGAAATTTATAATAATAAAAGACACTGTCGAGATTTCGCTATAGTCGGGATTTTGATTGTCGGGATTATTGTAGTCGGGATTTTGATGGTCGGAATTATTGTAGTCGGGATTTTGATGGTCGGGATTATGGTAGTCGAGATATTAACATAGTCGGGATTTCGAACGTCGGGATTTCAATAGACGGTCTTTCGGTTGTCGGGCTTTTAGACCCCAGTACATATACACACTGATAGAAATTGGTTGGATTTCATAAACCGCAAAAAAAAAACGCATAAAACAGGTTCTACTATATATAGGATAATATATAAAATTATAAGTTTAGATTTTAATTGAATTATGAACAATATTAGTAAATCAACTAAAATATACGGAAAGGTGTACTGCCAATAACCGGTTGCAATATTTTTTGTTGATAAATATTGTCATTATCATTATTATATCAGCCAGGACCTAAAAGATAAATGATAAAGGTTTTAAATTAAATTGTTATTATCATATACTTACATTAAGTAGTGTTGTACTTACTACAATTACCCGATATTAAGTGTCAGTAGTCTGTATGAATTATTAATCTATATTTATTATAATCATGATATTAATGATAACAGTATCAGCAATTATATCACATATATTATCGAAATCTCCTATAAATTTTAATGTATTTGCAAAGTTTTTTTTTTTGTTGCTATCTCTATTATTATACCCATAGTAGCAATAAATTATATATTATTTTATTGTTATATTTGTGATTTGTATATAAATATATTTTTTACTTTTAATAATTTGTTTGTTTTGTTTTATTGTAACAAATATAATTACAGATTTTAAGTAGTATAAGTAACTAAAGTAGCGTCACTAAAACCACTGTAACTTGTGAACTAAACGTCAGATTACCATGAAATTTTGACAAGCGTCGTCTGACGGTTGGTACTTCCTAAAATCATATGAATTTGTCGATAGAGGCGCCATATATATGTCATTCTACGAATGAATCTAAATTGGAGATCCAAGTGCTCGAAACGCTTTAATCTTCTTGTTGTTACGTCGTTGTCCAGAAGGTTGACCGCCAATGAATTCGTATGCGAATCAAGCCTATTCGTGTAGAAATGTTTAGCAACCTCTTCCACAGTTTTTAGTACAAATACCAGGTGTAGTCTCCTCCGCCATTTATCTAATACATTTAGATTGGTTTTAATATAACTTTGTACACTAGCAACTTATACTTTAAAGTCAACTGCAAATTTGCAATACAACTTTCTAAATTGTATTTCTAGTTGTTCACGCTTTGCCCGGATATGGTCTTTTAAGGTGCATTCCCAAAATATCTCACCCTTGAAGATTCTGAAATTACTTTGTTTATAAGTTTGATTTGAGGACGGGTGTCCTAATTATTTGATTAATAAAAAAATATTATTAATAATTATAACATTGCTGTTTGTAACATTTATTCATATTCCCATTTTCTAATTTCAGCTTAAAAAGTAAAAAAGCTTCAACTTGCATCCTAGAATTACAACAATAGAAAATAAGAATTTTAAATTTAAATCTGTCCAAAAATAGTTGTTACATTTCAATTTCACTTATTTGTCAAACATATTTATCAGATTTTTTATGAATCTAAATGTGCCATGGTCAAACTTTGTTTAAATTCGTTGCGCTTTTTTTACACTAGTGTTGCAAAAGTGATTTTCTTACATACTTAATTAATTAACTAAAACTTAAAAATGCCTAGAAACCAATCAACAAAACAAAGAAAGGAGTGAAGAATTAGTAATGATCATCGCAAGCATCATTTATTGCAAAATGTCAACGACTCAAACTAAGTGCAAAAAATACTGCTACTGAGAAGTTTTGCTGTTTTGGTTCCAAAATTTTGAAATTGTAAAGTATGTAAAATTAACAATGTGATGATTCTCGTAAAAAGAAGTAAGCCAAAAGACTAAAGTCAACAGATTCAAAACATTTGCACAATTCCCTTCAGCAAAAGAAACACATCATTGACTCATAAATCCAAAATTCCCAAAAGTACATTGTATGACAGATTGTAAAAAAAGAAAAAGAAATTAAGAGAGTTACAAGTTTTGTAAAACCGTTGTTTGACTTTAATGACTTCTATATAATGTGATGAAAACACCGTTATAAAAACACATTTTTTTTTTCAAAATAAAGTTTAATTTTCTCTTTAAATTAACAAAAATGTGCATTTTTTTCATTTTCTTGCTTCTTACAAAATGTAGCAACTATAAAAATAAAACAATATTTGATGCAAATTAATTTCTTTTTGAATATTTGAAGATACATTAGATATTCCATAATGAAACAGTGTACATTTGTGGTCACAGAGTTAATTGTAATAATATAGACATAAAATGTCCATTTACAGGAGGATGAGGAAACCATACGTAATGTTACTATTGATAAACAGTACAGTAAAACTAAAGATTCTCTAATTCCCATTTTTAAATTTCAGCTTAAAAAGTAAAAAAAAATCAACATGCATCCTAGAATTACAAAAAAAAAATGAAATTTATCTGTAGAATTTTTATGTTTCTTTTTTTCGTACAACAATAAAAACGAAAGTAGTATCATCATTCCTCCAACAAATGCAGAGATAAATAGATCGTCAGTACTATCCAGCTCTATGTACTTATAAATGTGATAACCATAGCAAAGATTAACGATAATATGGTGGCGATTGCAGACATGCGAGCGTTGAGAAATGAGGACAAATATGCTAAAAATAACTGTAACTTTAAGTGGAGAGAAAAAAGTTTGGTAAATTAAACAACCGACGGTCCTGTCTTCTCCAAATCGAGTTAATTAATCTAGTAAATGTGTGTATACATTATGAAACATTGAACCTAACAGGAAAATGTCACTATTTATTGTAAATTTATTTGTATACTTGTATGTGATTGGCTAAATGCAAATTAATTTTGATTAATAAAAGAATATTATTAATAATTAAAATATTGCTGTTTGTAACATTTATTCCCATTCCCATTTTCTAATTTCAGCTTTAAAGAAAAATATTATCCGAATTATCCGAAGTTCTACAAAAAATACAGGATTAGTGTTGTTTTTAATATTTTATTTAATAAATTGCACAAAATAAAACAAGTCACAAACTATAAAATGTATACGTACTACATATTAGAAAATTATATAAATTCTAGAACAATAAATATGTATGTATCCGCCCATGCATGCGGTTGATGAGGCTCAAGCACAGCATCCATGCACATGGGGCAAAAAGCAGAGTAAATTTGTGTTATTTCCTTAATTTTGTTTCCGTTCTTTAAGATTTGTCCCTAATAAGCGGTTGTCCCGATTAACCGGTGATCCAATTAAGGGGAATCATCTGTATGTTGAATTAAACGACAGTAATAATAGGTAAAATAATATAAGGTCAAAGTTTATGTATACTACATATAAACAAAATATCAATGATAATGAATATGTAAACATAAATATTAATTATGAATTTAGATATATTTTTTTAAAAAATAATCAAAATATTTTATAAATTTTATTAGTTTAAGATTAAAAAATAAGATTACAAATTGTTGGTAAGTTGAAAAGGAAGAGAGAGCATTGTCTATCTGTGTATCCCACAGAGCTCGGATGAAGTGCGTTTTCATTGGCAAATGCGAAATACAAATATTCGATTAAAATCGCGTACAAGCTTATCGGGTTTCAATGTTTCAATAAGGTGGCCGATGATGATGATTCCCGTGATTCACATTCACTTGGCGCTGGTCGAGATGAGAGAGCGAGAAAGATGTTCACAAAGTGATAGCGGTGAACGTCGGGATGAAAGGGACCCGCCCTTCGTAACAATGGACACGAACCGAGTTTACTCAAAATATTAACCTGCCGCCGCATCCCCACACGATGATCCGCGATGATCCCAGCCACGTGCACGTCCTACCCGCAATTACATAATCGGCAGGCAGGCCGTGGGTCCGTAGAGTAGAGGGGGCCCTCTATTTGCCTAATGAAAAAGTTTATATGCGCGCTTTGACAAATTGAATGGGGCCCTATTTAGACAGCACCGCTTGTATCTCCTCAATGCTCCTGCCCTTCGTTTCCGGGACTAGGAAATAGGTGAACGCAAGCGCAACGACGTTGAACGCGCTGAAGATCCAGAAGGTCGGACCCATTCCGATGGATAAGCTTGCGTTCGTGAAGAACTTCGTGAGGAAGAAGCAGACGAGCCAGCAGATGGAGGCGGTCAGAGAGGATGCCGGAGCCTTCACGTTCGAAGGGAATATTTCGCCCATTATGGACCAGGGCAAAGGGCCGAAACCGAAGCCGTACGTAAGCATGTACAGCACCAACAGCAACACCGGCAACCAAGAAACCGACTCCAGATCTTTACCTTCTTTGAGGTAATAGAAGTAGAATCCGAGCGGTAATTGCGACACGGCCATTCCAATCGCCGATGTCAGCAGAAGGATGCGACGCCCGAACCTATCGATGATCACAGGCGTTATAAAACCGGCCGCGAACTGACAGAAACCCAAAATTATTGGAGGTATCTCGTCGGGAAGTTCTTTGATTCCGGCAGTCTCGAAAATATTCTGCGCGTAGAATTGAATTATGTTGATGCCGGACAACTGCTGAAACGCAGCCAAACACACGGAGATCATCAACGCCTTCACATTGCTTCTGATGGTAAACACGTCTCTTAAATCGCCACTTTTGTTCTCCTCCAAGAACGCTTCCATGGTCTTCAACTCTTCCTCCACATCATCCATGCGTCTCAATTTAATCAGAGACTTCCTCGCGTCATCCTTCCGCCCTTTCAGCAAATAGAACTGCGGCGTTTCCGGCATGAAAATAAAAAATAAGATTGCAAATGCAATTGGAAACACAGCGCTAATCACGCTGAACAACGTAATGCTCAAGTAAGGTCCAATGCAGTAAGACGCCAGCACTCCGGTGACCACGAACACGTTCATCGATGATCCAAGAACGCCGCGAATATCATCCTCGCTTACTTCAGCTATGTATCCAGGCAATATAGCGAAAGTCCCACCCAGCGACAACCCTCCAACCGCTCTGGCAACATAATACAGGATAATTTCCTTCGTGAAAGCCAAACACAGGTAGGAGAAGATCACAGGTAGCGAGAGCAGCAGAAGAGTTATCTTCCTTCCAAGTCTATCCGAGCAGGCAGCGGCTAAGAACGGTCCGAATCCAGCGCCCAGAGCCAACAAAGATCCGATCCACGAAGATTCCGTGCTGGAGATGGGCTCATCGAATGGATTATCGGGATCCAGTTTCTCGAGTTTCGGAAGAACGGGTGACGTCCAGGTCAGCGTCATTCCGATAGTAAAGGCGAGTATGTTCGCTTAAATTATTACATTATTACAACTATTTATTTGGTCAAAATATACAAATTACCTGTGAGCACACAAGCGTACAGAAAATTCCTCCGTCCCGATCTCAACATTTCGTTTCACTGATGTTTACCGAATGCTGATTACAACCTTCAAACCAGCAACATTATCAATGGAATCGCCGATAATCTCCGTATAATTATTATTGCTCAATGCCAGCCACTCGAGTACATTGAAAAACATAACTAAACAATAAAAATCGTAGAGAACGGAAAAAAAAGTCAACACAATTCAATCGCGAATGCAAACATAATGTTCTTATCGTGCTCGTGCAAAGGCTACTGTATTTTTAACTTTTGTTACATATATATACGATTTTTAAGAAATGTATTATATTTATTATATTTGCACTCAATTTACTAATTATTTACAATTTGTTTTTAAAATATTTACAAATTTATTATGGATATATAATGTTTTAACTGATAACTGTAAATTTAATACACAGTAAATCACAAAATAACACTTGTCTCTTTTAATAGATTGTAATGAAATAATAAAACAATCGTATAATTATTTTACTTCATTTTAACTTCATGAATTATTCGTATAATTTTGTAAAAAATAATTAGCATTGATTTACAAATTTTATCTTATCGCCGTGTGTAATTTATTACTTTATTATCCTATTGTTCAAACTTTGTTTTTACTCAATTTTACTTTAAATAATTAAAAAAATACAATAAACTAAATAAAATAATGTATAACTGTAATTAATTAGAATTAAATACTTATTTTGACATATTTGATTGATACAATTTTAATTGCAATACTGAGAAAATTAAATGTGTAATTGATATTTTCTTTTCTTTTTGGTCTTTCAGCTTTCCCCTTCGGTTTGATTGCACCGCTTCGTAACGGTCGATTTCGTTCCCATATGTATCGAAACAGAAGGGTTCCTGCGGTATCGTGTTTCTTGTATTTCCTCCGATACCGACGTTCTCGTTCGTTCGCAACGTGTCGTTTCTCCAGAACCAACGGTGTCGATGCCTTCGTTGATTCCTCTTTTTTCTTCTACTAACGAAACACAAAAGGGTCTAAAATTTGTAGGTGGAAATCCTTTTCATACAAAGTGTTCTTTATAAAAATATTATCATTAAAATTATCAACAAAATTATTGTTACATTTATTTTTTTTATTCTTATTTTTATTTATACAAAATTATTTAACTTTTCAGAGTAAACGTGTTAATTAAATTCAATAAAAATATATTCGAAAAGTATTTAAAAATTGTATATAAATTTTTTTATTTTATTATTGATTTCAATTTCAATATTAAGTTTTTATACTATGATTTTGACATATATGGTTATATTTCTGTCTGTTTAAATATTAATAACAAATATAGTATGAAATAATTATTCGTAAAATTTGTAACGTTTCTCTGCGTATTCTTAATTTTTGTATTTTTATATTAATTATATGACTTGATAGTTCTATTTTAGTAAAATCCTTAACATAGAAAAAATAAACTAAAAAAAAGTACTGAAAAATAATTATATTATTAATTCATTTAATTAATTGAATAATTTTTTTAATTATATTCTGCCTGTTTATGGATTTTCATTCTTCATTTAATAATGTCAAATTTTACGTTTTTAAACTTTAAATTGTCACTTTGACATATACGATTCTATTCATACCTCTCTGTCATAATGGCAGTTTAAATATTAATAAAAAAAAATATGGTGTGACATAACTTTTCGCAACTTTTCGTAAATTATTGATTTTTGTATTCTTATATTAATTATATGAATTGATTTAAATAAATTATTAAATTGAAAAATGTCAAATTTTATGTTTATATACTTTAAACTGTTCAGTCCTGTCTGTCATAATTACAGTTTAAATATTAATAAAAAAATATATAATGTGACATATCTTTTCGTAAATTTGTCAATAAAGCAATATTTGTAACGTTTATCTGCAAATTCTTAACAGAAAACATATATAATTTAGAATGTAAAATAAAAGTAAAATGTATGTACAAATTAAATTTTTTTTCGACAATTTTTTGAGAAGAAGCACTACATATTTAATATAAAGAATGTGAAATTTAATTAGGTATAAAGTCTGTGTAAATTTAGCTTGTTTATGGAAATGCAATCGTGCAATTGTAGGGTTTATTGTGCAAACACGGGACCCCTTATTATCTTATGCAACTGTCCGTCACGAGATGAGACACCTTGTATTATTATTGTTATTTTTATGAATGGGTAACAGAGTAGTAGGCTTTTGCCCCCACCTGAACGAGGCCCACATGCGTGCATATACGTGTGGTTTAGTTCGCTAACCACCTGACTAAATAACTTAATACCATCGCTACACCGCCATCCGTATTATAGGTGCAAGTGGATGGATACAAGTTATGTGTTTAACCAGTGAACCGAAAGTCCCCCCATAACTAGAGCCCTGACTTCCATCCCATCGGATCAAAATCAAAAATCACCGGTGTATCAGATGATATACACACACAAACGTTGTTTTTTCATTGTTAACTTGTTAACCTGTGTGCTACATGGAATTTATTCTTAAAAACTAATATAAAAATTGTTTAATTTACAATTTATAAAAATAAAAAAAAATCAATTTTTTTACTGTATAAAATGCTAATTACTTTATTTTATATCAGAAATATTATGAAATTCTAACAATTTAAAAAAAATAGATACGTTATTTATGGTGAAACCTAATACTCACAAAGCTTATATAATTTTTCAAGTGATTTTATTTGATTAATCGTATTACAAACTCAAACCATATTTGAATTTAAACATTTCATTATTTTTATCCGAACTAACGTACAATACATCCACTAAATTACATAAATAAATAATGCTGTTTTATTGAAATTATTGAAGTTTCTTTTCCAATGATAACTTACGTGTTTGTATAAATACGGTAATAATTATCACGCAATTACACTCAAACTCAATTTCTAGTGTTTACTGAATGACAACCAATGGTTTACTGCAACAAGACATAACATATTTAAAAGGAAACAAATAGAAAGCTGTTACCTAGAACATAGTGAAGTCCATAAATGTTATCAAGGCCTTCCAAAGTTTTCTAATAATTCACTAACAGCAATTGAAAACAGAAAATTTGAATTATATTTTTAAATTATCGATAATATTGAAGCGAAAATATAGTTAAAAATTATAATTAAATGCATATACAATGTGTATATCCAACGTTAAAACTTTTCTATTTTTAAATTTTTTAAGGTGTTTATTAAAATGTCATTAGAAAAAAAAACAATTTGAAAATGTTATTTCTTTCAAATCGTGATGATATTTATCTTTTGCCTTAAACGAGTTTCATAAATACTTGAATAATATTCAAATGCAGAATATAAGCACAGTGAACATTTGTACGGATATTTGTACGTTTGTTCTGGTAATAATGATGTACGTATTATCGAACATCATTTACATTTTAGCGAGCGTTGTCTGTATAAGTTAAATGATGTTGAATTAAACTTTTGAATTTTATATCTGTAAAATAACAACAAAATTCATTTAAGTAAATAAACACTCATATAGTCCTAATTACTGTTATCCAAGAAATAAAAAGTTATGAGTTTTAATTTGTGTTTAATAATTGAAATTTACATTATTATATAAAAAAAATACTAAATAGGCTCAAGGGAATGATATTGAATTAACTCAATTCACTTTAATCGTTTGATGTTCGAAGATATAGTTAACATACGTACACTATGCAAGTAATGCATTTGTAGTTTAGTTATTGTTTTAATGTAATTTTAAAGTACCAGTGTACGTTAGTTTGGATAATAATTGTGTTCGTTATTATCAAACGTTATTTAATTCTTTTGTCTGTTTTCTTAAATATATATATAAAGGATAAAGCAAAAGATTTATTTAAAGCATTTGGATTTTAGTTATCGTTTTTTAAATTGAATGTATCAGAGTAAGTTAGTATATAAGTACGCACGTACAGATAACAATTATGCACGTATTAACGAACATAATTGTGAGACTAAGTTGTCTGTATACGTTTTATTTAAAAGATTGAAGTAAAGTTTATTTCCTTCAATATTCTTTTTCTGTTTTAGAAGTCATAAGTTATATACAGAAAAAAAACTGATAACAAATCCTCACATTCAATAGAATAAGTTAAGAATTAAGGATAAAGCAAAAGATTTATTTAATGCATTTGGATTTTAGTTATTGTTTTAGTTATGTAAATTTAAATGGAATGGATAAGAGTACGTTAGTACGGGTATAAGTACGCACGTACAGATAACAATTATATACGTATTAACGAACATAATTGTGAGATTGTATACATTTTATTTAAAAGATTGAAGTAAAAGTTTCTTTCCTTCAATATTCTTTTTCTGTTTTATAAGTTATATAAAGAAAAAACTGATAACAATCTTCACATTCAATTGAATATGAAAATTTAAATGTAAATGTAAGTACGTATTAACGAACATATATCAATCAATAGCGTAGTCTGTATACATTTTATGTAAAATATTGGAGTAAAGAAATATTTTTGTAAAATGTTTTTTTTTAATTGCAACAATTATAGCAATTATAGATTTTTTGTATGAATACTACTTGTATGCATTACGTCAGTGATTCTCAACTTTTTTTTTTATCGCGGCACACTTTTAACGATTTCAAAATTTGACGGCATACAAAGAAAAAGATAAATTTAAAAGTTGTTTACTTACCTATAATACACTGTGTATTATAATTTTTACTATAAACATTTCTAAAATTTGGCGACACACAAAAGTGTCGTGACACAGTAGTTGAGAATCACCACATAACATATTAAGCTCATTATTTCAAATTATAAAATGTTAAGATTCTCGCGAACCAAACTACTATTGACCAAAGTCTATTTATGTCCAGATTATTAATGCTTTTTCTGTGATTTGTAGATAAATTCACGAAAAAGAAAAATATTTTTGTATTTATTTCATTTGAATTATGTTATTGAAGTTGTAGATGACAATGAATTATTATTGTGGATTCCTATGTTTTTAAACGTGGACATTTGTTAATTAATTAATTAATTATTGTAACTATTGTATAATTACTCATTGATTTCAGTGCATGTATGCATAAATAGAGTTGCAGTGCGGAACTGTGTTTGTTTGCAGAGAGGGTTGGGGGCTAATACGAGCTGGAGGGTGATGAAGCAGTGGTGGTGGTGGTGGTGGTGATGATGCGATGTTGATGATGAGGTGGTTCGTTCGGTGAGGATCGAGGGGTTTGTGGGCGGTTCCGCGATGGTCGGTTGATGGACAATGAGGGGGTGTTTGGGAGGGCGATCGGGTGGCTATCGACAGTCGACGTGTCTCACTTTTAATCAGTTTGAAAAATACCCCGCGAATACTTACAAGTTTTTTTCACTGTCGCACACACATCACCACACATGCAAAACATCAGACAGACGAACATCCTCAAATGAAAGTCGACACTCTGGCACCATTCAATACAAACTCACAATAGTATCCCTTTTTGTTCCTTGAAAGATAAGAAAAAACTATAAGTATGCAAATTGTTAATACGCATGAGTGCGTGAAAGTTCAATAAATTTCACAATTTTTTGACTGAAAAGTTAATTAGTTGCAGTGATAAAATGGCTTGAAAATTTGCAATCACCGTACAATTGGATTATTTTCAAATTTGAAAAAGGTAAGTTTTTATACAATATAAAATTTAGTTTCTTATAATTTATTTATTATGTGATTTCATTATACAAATAACTATATAAAAAAAATGTGAAATTGCACCTTCTACTAAACCATTCACCCATTCAAATAATGACAGTTAAACACTTTAATTTTCGTAATTTGTCAAACTTCAAATTACGATTTTTACAATATTTGTAACATAATTATTATATCAAACACATTTTTTTATCTACATAATTATTTTTATGAAGTTTCTATACAATTATATTATATATGAAATAAAAAAAGTTTTCAATCTCGAAAAAGCACAAATTTGAGAAGTATCAACCCAAAACTTGTTTTTAAAGTATTATTTATACATTCAACCTTTAGTGCAGTGTCTGTCAAACCTTTTTTACCTCTACTCGCCTAATTTACTTTGCGGCAAACCAAATAAAAATCTCAATATAATAAACTCTAATATTTTTGTCTATTGTTTTTTAAATCTTTCGCTGCATACCTTGAATCTATGTGTGCAGACACTGCTTTAGTGTTAAAGAAATAATAAGAACTATAACAATTGAAATTCAAATATGTAAAACATCATTATTATATCATACACATTTTTTTTATCTACATAATTTTTCTTATGAAGTTTTTATATAATTATAAGAACAAAATTAAACAAGATTAGCAGAAAACTGCGCCTCTAAATCTAAATTTCTGATATTTTATCTAAAAATCATCAGTAGATCGTGATATGAGACATTTTTATTTAAAGTGCTATAAGTCCACTTTTAGAAAAAAATGAGTTAATGGTAATTTTAGTAATATATAAATATTCTCTTTTTATATTTAAAGTAATAACGGCTTATATATCTAATAAATATTCAATGTATTTTATATAATAGTATTAAAACTATTATTTCATTACATAAATAACTTTTATTCAACTGCAGACCAGGATTAGAAGTTTCACTGTAGTATTAACACTAAAGTTGGTACCTTTTATCAATCATATTGGTATTATCTTTTGTGATTTTTCATAAAATTTCGTGTACAGTAATTCTTCTAGTGTTTGCTTCTCCAAATATTTTCAATTTTTTTAAAAAACAATAACTTATTTACCGAGACTGGTCAATTCGAACCAGTTGACAAATTGTCAATATATATTCTTTTAACCGCAAGTTTCAAATTTGATACTTGACTTTTAAATCGAATTGTACAATGCAAATTTGTTATGAACAAAAGTTATATATAAAATATGTATTGTGATTTTTGATATTATTTCCCTTTATTTGGTTACTGCAATAGATACATTGATATTTTTAAATTTAATTTGGAAAATCAGGCTTTTAAGGGTTAAAATTAACCTGGACTCATCTGGAAAAACATATCACGATAAAAAGAAAACAGCTTGGACTGAAAGTAAAAAACGTTACATTGTCCATCTCAGCTGAAAACAAAGTTTTGATATATAAAACAATAATAAAACTGATATAGATTTCAACTATGAGAGTTCTGCTTATAATACAAGTATTGACATCATACAGCTGTTTCAGTCAAAAACGCTCAGAGCAATTACTAACAAACGAATACATACACCAATACACTGGAGTCAGATTTATGAAGGATAAGACAACGAAACTCAGCAGTAAATACCAACATCGGCTGGAGGACCAAACCAACTTACAACTAAGCTAACATATACAGAATCTCATTGACGAAGACTGAAACGGTTTAAAGCGCAGGACCTCCCTAATCGCTTTTGAATTAGTGTTAGAGATGTCTAAATTTAATTTAAAATCTCTAATATATACTTTTATTTTTTTCTTTAATTAATGCAAAACTAGAGCTTCTATCTTTTTTGCTTTGTAGATAGATTGCTTTATAAAATAATAAAAAATAAATAATCGATACAAAAGAATTAGATTGAGTTTCCATATGTTTTATAGTGCGCGTATATAATTGAAAACAATGATACATGGCACTGTTATTACAAGTTTATTTGAGTTAGGTACTGTGATTTTAAGTACATCTTTAGTTTTATCTTGCTTCCATGTCCTTAAAAATACATTTTATAAATATAAAACAAAAATAATTTCAAGATTTTGGTGTTTTAACAAGATATAAACGTACAAGAAATTGCAAACTCAAATCTCTACAGAATTTGAAGCAAATCAGGATTAAGTAGAATTGGAAATAATCTAATTTCAAAATGATTTGTATTTGAAATAATAAAAAAAAATGGTTTTGTGAATACACTAAAGATAAATAGTCAATTTTGACAAATGCGGTACAAAAATTGATGTATTGATTTGGCTTGATGCATTTGGCTGAATCCGCATTTTCTGATTTGAATATTTTAAAATCAAAAATAAGAAATTCGTCAAAGGATTAACATCATTCTATACGTTTATATCTTTCATCGAATGATCCAGCAGCAAAATCTATAAAATATCAATGATCTCATTAGTATTAGTTTTATTTTCTATTTTTTTTTATCAGATATTAGTATATAAATTGTATAATTTTTGTTTGTATTGAAAATCTTTACGATTTCTGGTCGATCGTGGTAATATACAGCTCGCTTAACGAGCAAAATAAATTGTAGGAAAAATGACTTGCAAAATGGAACACATTATGGTATATTACGTAAGTTTATATAGAGAAAATTATTTTAGAATACAAGTAAAAATCTGGAAATTTTTGATAGGATTATGTTCGTTAAAGCCAGGTTTCTCTGTATATTATAAAAAGAAGCAGATTTCAAAAACAAAATACATTATAAAAATTATATAGAATTTTCTTTGCAATTATTGCTATCTTTAAAGCAGTCAAAATCAAAGTGAAACAGATTTTTATACAACTAACAAAAGAAGATTGTTATTGAGTTCCTAGTGATTTAGAAGACCAAAACATAGAAAGTTATCAGTCAGTTTTCGATGAAATAAAAGAAGTTTTCAATCCCGGAAAAGCACAAGTTTGAGAAGTATCGACCCAAAACTTGTTTTTAAAGTATTATTTATACGTTCAACCTTTAGTGAAGTGTCTGTCAAACTTTTTTTAACTCTACTCGATTAATTTATTATGCGGCAAACCAAATAAAAATCTCAATATAATAAACTCTAATATTTTTGCCTATATTTTTTTATAATCTTTCGCTTCATATCTTGAATCCCTCTGTGTAGAGAGCTTTGTAGAGTGCTTTAGTGTTAAAGAAATAATAAGAACTATAACAATTGAAATTATTTTTTGTAAAACATTTGCAGATAATTAGATTTCTAAATTATAAGTAACGAATTATTTTTTATTATATAGAAATCGTCATTATGAATTAGGGTTAATACAAAAACCGACTTTAAAAAACAACGGTTTTCGAATTTTCATTTATAATATTCTTGAATATTACATAAAACTATAACAAAATACAATAACTCATATAGAAAAACGAACATCAGTAAACGTTTAAAAAGCTAAGGCTTCATTTTCTTCTATCTTCAATTGAATAATTTTGATATAATATTGATAATATTTTTAAAGATATCTTAATGATCACACTTTTTGATACTGGTGAAAGAAATACGCTGGATGTCTTTGTCCAAACGTTTTGTGGATTATATAAGTAAAGCAGAAGTGCAAGTAATTCCCCCTGTCTTCTCTCTTGAATTTGTGTCTCCACAGCAAGTAATATCTTATAACTAATTTCAGTTTGTAACTTTTTCATTTCACGTAACAGAAATTCAAATATGTCTTCACTTATTAATAAATTCGCATCTTGTCGTTCTAAGGCCTCTATATATCATGACCTCTAAACTTCTTCATCTAGTTTGGAAATAAATAATAGGACTTAATTCCTTCCTAATTTTCTGTTTGTTTCATGAAACTTTGTATTTGGGCTGGAAACGACTTTGGGATCACAATGTTTATGTTTTTAACCAAATAACTAATTATTTTTTATATTTTAAGTCTATGTTCAAAAACCGATTTTGTAGTTAAAAAAAAAACCTGTTTTCGAATTAAATATCTTTAAAATATCGTGTTTTAAAAACCGACAAACTCTATCATGAATCATCAAAATATCAAACTAAATTTATACTTAAATAATAAAAAAAAATGACTATAGCAGTAATGAAATAACTGTTTCATTAAATAAAATAACTCATTTTAATTAAAGTCAAGAAAATTGAAATAAATAAATATTTTTCTTTACTTTTACTTTACTTTACTTTACTGTGATTTTAATTAGATCTTTAGTTTTATCTTGTTTCCATGTCTTTAAAAATACATTTTATAAATATAAAATAAAAATAATTTCAAGATTTTGGTAAGGATGATTTTTTTTTCCAAATGTGTTTCAACAAGATATAAACATACAAGAAATTGCAAAGTCATATTTCTACAGAATTTGAAGCAAACCAGGATTAAGTAGAATTGGAAACAATCTAATTTCTAAATGATTTGTATTTGAAATAATAAAGTCAAGAAAATTGAAATAAATAAATATTTTTCTTTATTTTTTTCATAATATTTACACATTAAATTTTACTGTAATATAAGATGTTATCGATATATAGTTAGTAAATGCAAATTTTTTAATAATAACGTAATTAAATTTTTTCTTAGTTGCCTACAAAAAATTCCTAAATAATACATGAATATTATTTGTAATTTATCAAACATTATGATCACAATTACTTAAAGATCGAATATTATTCAAGTCTGGTACTTTATTATTCTAGTTTTTTTTTTTAATTAGAATAATATTTTTATATTTTTATTAATAATATTTTTCATTTAAAAGCTTTAGGGGTTCCGCGAAATTTTATATACTTTTTTTTGTCAAACGAAGATTTAAACACCATAAGAATGCAAAATTAAAATATCATGATTTAAGAAAATCCTGTAAGTTTCAAGTACACTGTCAGACAAAAATGGTTGAAGAACAGTAAGTAAACCATGTAAAGCTCATAAAATCAATAACTATAATCTTGTTAGATTGCAAACGTAGAAATTTACAGTTATT